GACACTCAGCAAGGAGTAACAAGTGCCAGCTATGAGGTCTACTGGATTATTCATCTACTGACTTCGGCATAGATGAACCAAAGCCAATAATACTTTTTGAGGACAATCAAGCTTGTACCGCCATCTGCAAAGGTGAAGGCACCAAATCTAAAAACAAGACCATCAAATGTCACTACGTGAAAGAGCTGCAAGACCAAGGACTGATTGAACTCCAGTACTGTCCTACTGATCAGATGATTGCCGACATCCTGACCAAGCCGCTTGACAAGCAACATTTTGAGACTCTTCGTGAATGTTTGGATCTGCATGACTTTCGTGTTGTAACTTGAGAAGGGGTGTTGGGTATTACAAGTTGAAAACACTCAGTATATCTGGGGTTAAATGTTTGTTTATGTTACTCACAGGAAGTCACATGTTTCTCATGCAACCAATGTTCTTTAGCTGTAGAATGCCTGGGAATTTTCTCCCTGATCTAGGAATTTGATTGGGACTAAAGTGTCAAGGTGTATTACCATTTTATGGCTTCTCTTCCCGTCTTTGTTTTGGTGTTCTGAAGAACAAGAAGAGTAGCCATAATCTCTCTCTTCTAGTTTTGTCTTTGTAGTGTAAGGATGTAGCCGACTATGCTCTTTTGTTATTTTCATCCCAGTTACCCTTCCCATGCTAGAATTTACTAAAAACTTTATATTTTAATCACACATGGACTCTCAGTCTGAATTATTTTACTCAGGCTCTGCTGGGCTATATTATCTCTGCTAAATACCATTTTTTCAATATCTCACTATCACCCAACAGGATCGAAACCCTATTGATGTCAGAGGTCCCTCTTGCACACCTGTCCATCCACCTCCCCCGGGACAGCCTCCCTGGCGTCCCCCCTCCCATTTTGTTCTTCCTACAACCCTGCGAGGTAGGCTACGCTGACAGTGGGACTGCCCCACTGTCCTCCCAAAGCAGCTTTAGAGCGTAAGGGAATTCGAACCCGGCTCCCCAATCCCCACACAGACTTTAACCACTATGCTGCACTCTCTCACCTGCCGTCCCAAAAAGACTCCGAAGTCAGCGACCCCCCACCCCACCCCCACCCCCACACATCGCACTCGCTCCCATCGGGTTTCAAGCCCCTTTTCGGTCGGACAGGTCTGAAGGCGTTATTTTCTAATCCGCAAAGAAACCCTTATCCGCTGGTCTCGCTTATCGGCTGCAGGATTTAAACGAACCCGGGATCCATGAAAGCTCTTTTTTGCAGTCAGTCTTTCCCTTATCTCGACCCCATTGTTTTGATCTCACCCTTTAGGCCTGGCAATTGACCATAGATTACCTTCTGTGTTTGGAGAGCATTTCAGGGTGGGGTTTCGTTTCCCTTCCCGCCCCCCCCCCGAAATCCCCTCTCCCCCTCCACGCAATGGCTCCAGGGCTCGCGCGCAGGCGCAGAAAACAGGGCCAGCCAATATATATATATATATATATGGGGGTCAGGTATACTTCCGCGGGGTTTACTCCCAAGTAAGTGTGCTCCTCTGCTGTACACCTGCTTGGGACCCTCGGGACGCCCACCTTTGGGACTTCTTTCTAGACTTGGGGTTAGAAAAATAAAGTGAGTTGCTAATGCTCCCTCTAAGCTGTGGAGCCTTGTGATCAAAACTTCTACTTTGTGAGCGACTGGCATTAAAGTGGTGAGCGAGGGATTTGGCTACTGCATAGATTAGTCTGCTCCGGAGCCATCCTTCCTGAGCGAAGACAAAAGTGTGTGAGCCGGAGGCTAAAAAACTGTGAGCTGGCTCACACTCACTCATCTTAGAGGGAACACTGGCTTGGACTGAAACCACGGGCTCCAAAAAGGAACTAGAAATCTCGGCGGGGGGGGGGGGCGCTGAAAAGACAAAATGTGATTACTGCCAAAGGTCTCTGGCATAGGGTCACCTGGACAAGGGTTGTGTTCTTCAAACGCCCTGGGCTCAGTGGCACGCAGAAGGTCCCAGGTTCAATCCCAGCGCCTCCAGTTAAAAGGGACAAGGTAGTAAGGGATGCGAAATCGCCTGAGATACCTGGAGTGCTGCTGCCCGCCTGAGTGGATAGTACTGACCTCGATGGACCAATGGGGAAGGGCTTTGTCTCAGTGGCAGGGCATCTGCTTGAGAAGCAGAAGGTCTCAAGTTCGGATCCCAGCGTCTCCAGCTCAAAGGGTCAGGTGATGTGAAAGATTTCAACCCGAGACCCTGGAGAGACGCTTCCAGTCAGAGCAGGCAATCGCTGACCTCGATAAACCAAGGGTCTGATTCAGTCGAAACACTGGAGGAGGTGCAGTGGCTCCGGGGTAGAGCATCTGCTTGGCACGCAGAAGGTCCCAGGTTCATCTCCAGTTCGCTGGGTACCCGGTGGTGAAAGTCACCCCGGAGAGCTGCCGCCGGCCCGAGCAGGCAATTCAACCCTCCTCGACTGACCGATGGATTCAGTATAAGGCAGCTTTCAGGAAATGCTCCCCCCAAAGTCGTTTTATTTAGGGGCACGAAGAAGAAACAATGGGCCAGGTCAAGGGGCTAAAAAAATTGCAGGAAGGGCAGAGAGGGTTGTAATTACGCAAACCTCGAGTTAAATCAAGGAAGGAACAAAGACCATTCATTAGCGATGGGTGGGAGTTAACAAACTTAGATTGAAATCCTAAATAAGGTTTGTTGGGAGTGTGGGTAGTGTCAAACATTTTAATGAATCCCAATTCAGCGGTTTCAGGCGGGAGTCCTTTTTGCAGAGTAATTCAGATTTTGCAGAGTAATTCGGGAGTTCTTTCGCAGGGTGATTCCGTTTAAACAGTCAAGTTCCCCGGAAGACCGAGATCTTCTTCCCATTGGCTTCAGCATGAGCTTCACTCCGAATGACCCAGCACTCCGGTTTCCTTTTAGGCCCCTTTTTTAATCTTTGAAAATCGGGCTACCCTCAGCCGCTAGGTGATGCGAGATTTTTTTTTTTTAATGGACAATTCGAATTCCTCACCTGTTTACACCCAACGGGCTTCTCTTCTCTCGCTAGTCTAAAGACACCCCTTTCCTGCTTAGTCTATCCACAGCGCAATCCGACCGAAAACTTAGAGGAGAACAAGTCTGCATAGGACACCCCCCAAGGGTCCATAGAGGTCATCTACTCCAACCCCCTTGGCTCAGTGCAAGATCAGCCTAAAGCATCTCTGGGTAAAAACCTTTTAAGTCATGCATCCTTCTTCTTGTTGTTGTAATTAATGTGATTATGACTCATCCCCCCCCCCCTTAGTCCGGAGGCGCGCGCCAGGCTCCTTTCCAAAGTTGAGGAGGCGCCTTTGAATTATTCAGCGCCCCCACCGGCTTATTCGTCAGGGGACCGCATCATTTATTCATCCTCGGCATTAAAGTAATTAAATATGAGCTCAGCGGGACCGAGCAGGACTGACTGCAAAGGACAAGGAGAGGTGGAAGTGGGGGGTGCTGGAGAAGAGATGGACGGGGGGGAGGGGGGAACGGGGAGAGGGCTGGGCGTCGGGTCGCCTCTTTCTCCGTCTCCTTCCTTTCTTCCAGGCTCGCAATAATTGATTCGCACACCGAGCCGCGTTCCCCTTAGGTGACACTCGAGAAGGAGCTCGGGTTGCAGCCTCCTGACGTATCTCCTTCTCTCCCCCCCCCCCCTTCCTCTTCTCCGGGGCCAGCCGGAGCGCGCTCTCAGAGCCCCCCTTCCCGGCTATCTGTCCGCCTCCCGCGCGCCTCCGCCTCTAGTCCGGCGCTCGGCTCGGGAGAGGAGAGCAGGCGGCCGGACGGGCTCCTCCACCGAAGCCGCTCGCTCCTGCGGCGCGCAAGGACGCCAGGCCCCGGGAAGCGGAGCGCACGCCCCGGCCCGTCCCTTTCCCTTCCCTTCCCTGCCCGGCCTGGAGGCGCGCTCCGATAGGCGCAGCGAAGGACCCAATCAAAGCCAGGCCGGAGCCTGAGAGGCCGCCTTTAAGCCGGCCTGCCGGAGGACAAGCGGCCGGGGAGAGGAAAGTTTCCCTTCGGCGGTTCGTGGAAGGCGGGCGCGCATCCCTTTCCCGACGGCTGGGATCTTACAGGCGTCGGCTTTCCCGGGGCCGGAGGGCCTCCGCGGCTTCCCGGCTCTCCCGCTCGGGCCAGCTTAGGCGCCCAGGCCGGCTCGAGGGGCGGCGGCGGGGGGACGGGGCTGCCGCGGCCATGTCGATGCTGCCGTCGTTCGGCTTCACGCAGGAGCAAGTGGCGTGCGTCTGCGAGGTCCTGCAGCAGGGCGGCAACCTGGAGCGGCTGGGCCGCTTCCTCTGGTCGCTGCCGGCCTGCGACCACTTGCACAAGAACGAGAGCGTGCTGAAGGCCAAGGCGGTGGTGGCCTTCCACCGGGGCAACTTCCGCGAGCTCTACAAGATCCTGGAGAGCCACCAGTTCTCGGCGCACAACCACCCCAAGCTCCAGCAGCTCTGGCTCAAGGCCCACTACGTGGAGGCCGAGAAGCTGCGCGGGCGGCCGCTGGGCGCCGTCGGCAAGTACCGCGTCCGGCGCAAGTTCCCGCTGCCGCGCACCATCTGGGACGGCGAGGAGACCAGCTACTGCTTCAAGGAGAAGTCCCGCGGCGTCCTGCGCGAGTGGTACGCCCACAACCCCTACCCGTCGCCCCGCGAGAAGCGGGAGCTGGCCGAAGCCACCGGCCTGACCACCACCCAGGTCAGCAACTGGTTTAAGAACCGCCGGCAGCGCGACCGAGCGGCCGAGGCCAAGGAAAGGTGGGTGCGCCTGGCGCAGCGGAGGAGGCGGCGGCGGCGGCGGGGGTCGCCTGCCTGGAGCGGAGTTGCAAAAGGGGAAGGGTTTTTTGGGGGGGGGGGGGGGGGGGGGATCCAGCCACTCTTTTGCCCCTTGGAGGCCCCTCGACTTTGCACTAGAGGGGGCGTTATTACGGGCCGGCCCTCTCCAACTGCTTGCCGGATCGCTTTTAGGAGGACGCGGCGTTGCATTTAGGATTTCGGAGGTAATCGCGTGCAG